ATATATATATATACCGAGTCAGGCAATGTTCCAAATATGGCTATCTCAGTGGCACCTCCCAACTATTCCTCTGTCTACACGGAGGCAGCCCAACCCTGATGCAGGTAGGTACAATTGAACCACAGATGCTATCAGGAGTGGACATGGATGTAGTGATGGATGACGGAAGCCGGTTTATAGTTGAGGTGCAGGGACATGTGTGGGTACAGACCCCTCTCTGCTCACTGCTCACTCTTGTCCATCTCCACCACCACACATAGCAGAGCTCACATACATTGAGCAGGAAAGGCACGAGTGGTTAAAGGTGTTGGCTCTGGAGCCAGAGAGCTGGGATATGAATCCAGCTTTCACAATTTTTTAGTTGTACAGCCTTGGGCAAGTAACTTAGCCTTTCCAAAGCCCCAGTGGGGGTAATAATTGCACCAACCTCAAAGGGCTGTGATCAGCATTAATGAGTGAGAACTTAATAAATGGCAGCTCTTATGATGATTATTTGCTGCACACACTAATAAGTCAGATACACACTCCAACCTACAATGCCCTGTCTCTTCCCTCCAAGCCACCCTCGTTTCTCCCCTGGACCACTGCAATGCCTTCTCAATTGATCTTGACCTCTACACCTGCCACTTACCATCTACTCCTTATATACAGTCAGAAGGCTCTTTCAAAAATGTAAAATAGACCACGTCAGGCCCCCACAAGGGTTTCTTAAGCTTTTTATTGTGGATCCTACACAATCTGGCCCTTGGCAATTTCTCTGACCTTATCTCTTATTACTTCCCCACGTTGGCTTTTTTTCAAGGCCTAGAACATTCTAAATTATTCTCACCTGGGGACTTTTGTTCCTGCTGTTCCCCAGAGCTCTCCCCAGTTCTCTCAGTGATGCTTCTTTCTCATCTCGTGGGTCAGCTCACCTGTCATGTTCTCAGAGGTCTTTCCTACCATCTTACTTAATTGGTCCACTCCACCCACACACATACATTTGCTCTCTCTTTGATAATCATATGATTGTCATATATACATGTTATTATGAAAGTAACATATAATTGTAAAAGTAATGTGTGCTCATTTTTTCAATTTTGAATAATTGAAAAATACAGAAGTATAAAGAAAATATCAACCACATGATATCCCACTGCACTAAGGAAAATCACTATTAAGACTTTAGCATATTTCCATGTAGTCTTTTTCCCCCTATACAGTGAACATTTTTATCATACTGTATATACAAAGCTTTATCTTATTTTTGTGTCACTTAATGTTGTTCAATTATGACCACTTTCCCAATGTGAACATGCCTAAGAAACATGATTTTAATGGCTGCATGATATTCTATGTTATAAATGTGCTGTAGTTTACACTAGTCTCCAAAAATAAACATTTAGGTTTTTTTCTTTTTTTCAATTATAAAGCTGTGATGAACACTTTATATATCTGGCCCTTCTGTAATGCAGCATACTTTTGGAAGAATCCCTTTAAATTCTGTATTGCTCAGTTTTTTCATCTTTGAATTAATTAAAAAGACATCAATCAACCTTTCTTTAATGCTGTTCTTGAAGGAAGAATGAAGCAGAGTTTGTAAAAATGCTTTGAAGTAGCTGGATGAAAGAGGCTGTGTGAGTCACAGCAGTAGTAGCCCTGCCAGACTGGATAATCAGGTTTGCTGTCACCGCACTCGGCTCCTATGCCCTGTACAGGGGCACTGCCACCCTGTCCCACACATCCCAACACTGTTCAACAAATTTACACATTGTTTCCGAAGGGGGTGCTCAGCCCTGTATTCAAATGTTACCACCACAGGTATTCAGCGTCCTGACCCACACTGCATGAACTGTCCACAGAGCACACAGCTGGAAGGAAACTTCGGGATAATTTAGTCCAACATTTCTTTCTGCAAGCCAGAAAACTGACTCCAGAAAGGTTAAATGACTTTGCCTCAACATTTTTTAAAGATGCATTTCCCAAGCATTATAATATTTCTTATTGGCAAAAATAAGGTTCACATATTTTATACGTGATGAATTAAGTGCTCCAGATTAGTCAGAAAAAAATCCTAAGAATTATGTTATCTAAGGATTTTTGAGAGGATAGCCCAAAACCTTCATACGAATCACTTGTTATAGCAAAGTTATTTTGAAAGCGTCTTTAGTAACTACAGGTCCTGTGTATGTACAAGACATTTAGCATGATCTTCTTTCCCCAAGTGTGGATGAAAGTGGTTTTCTTCAGTCATATGTATCACAACATAGCGACAACATAGGGAATATTTGGTATTCAGAAGCAATTTTCTTTCCAGAGCCCCTTCAGATGGCTTCTCTAGATTACAAACTCTTTTGGAAACTCCATACTCTTTCCACTGATTCAGTAACAAATTCTTAACTTATTTTTAAACTGCTATAATTGAGCAGCTCTAAGGGTTAACCTGTGGAATTTGGTCTTTCTTAGATCCACTTGTGGATGAAGCACTCTCTGCTCTTTACTGATTTGGAACTATCTTCTATTTCCTTTGCTGAGAACTGGGTAACTCAAGGGACCTTGAAATCGTTCAAAGCACAATGCAAAAAACAGCAGTTTGGTTTCTCCTATTCTTTATCCAGTACAAGGAAACAAAGAGAAAAACTGCCCCTGTTACGTACTCCCAAGCTGACACTAAGATGCTCTCCAGGGGGCTTCTACAGCTCGGGGCCGAGCTCAAGAAAAGCAAGTGAGCTCTAGCAAGAAGCACACTGGCCACCTGTTCCAACAGCTGAACACTTTGAACTCCTCGTGAGCCGAGCTTCTCACACAAGTCAGCCAGCAGGAGGGAAAGAGAGAGGCCTTGAGAGGACAGCCGAGCAGCTCGCCCAGAGGATCAAAGGCTTGCATGAGCTGGCTGCTGGGTTCCAGCATCTGTAGGCTGCCAGAACGAAGTACGGGGAGAAATTGAACGAGAAGCTGAAGTTGCTGGAGCCGAAATTGGAGAATGCTGCGTTCAAGGCACATGGGCTTTCTGTGTCAAAGCTGATGGAAGATCATCATTTTTGATCATTTGACTTGACCATTACTTTAACAGACTGGAAGATAGGCCACAGTGGGTGAGATTCAGGAAGCTGGGATTATTCCTTCTGTGAAAAAGACTGGTCAAGAAGAGTAGAGGTGCGAATTAACCCTCCATGATGCAAATGCTTCTGTAGCTGCCGTTCCTGGGAATGGCAACCCAAANAGATGGCTTCTCTAGATTACAAACTCTTTTGGAAACTCCATACTCTTTCCACTGATTCAGTTACAAATTCTTAACTTATTTT